GGGCAGGACTTCCACAGGACGCTGAAGGAGGGCGGGCCAGCTTTAGTGCAAGCCCTCTGGCCTCCCCAGAGACCAGTGGCCGGCTAAAAGGGACCCCTTTTAACAGCTCTTCTCACTCTAACACCAGGGGTTTTCCTGGGCCTGGAAGACTGCACTTGACCCACGTCCCTTAGCCCTAAAGGGTTTTGATGATCCTCTACTCCACAATGAGGAAACAGGAAACTGAACCCTCCTGGTTAGGCCGCCCTGCCGGCCACCTCAGTGAACTCCAGACACCAATTCTGGACCTTGCCTGACCTGAACACAGACTACACAGAACCTGAGCAGAGCCTTTCAGCAGAGAAGACCTTCCGGAAAGGTATGCAGGCAGAACACACAAGGTCCCCCGCTGTGCAGGCAGCCACCGGTCATCATCTCGACCAGCGGACAGGCTGCCAGGCCCAGTCTCCTTGTGCAGAGGGAGGTTGGCGCATCGAGACTGCTGGGGACTAGGCCCCTCCACTATAGAGAAACACTGTTCTGCCTGACAGCGTCACCTCCAGCCCAGGAATAAGGGAGCCAAGAGCTAAGACCAGCTTTGCAGACAGAAGAAGAACATGTTTTGGAAAACCTGCCAATACCAGTACTCCCTCCGCTTTCCCAACCAAACAACTTATGGCACCTGCACTTCTGAGTTCAAGCATGGAAGCTCAGGCTGCGCCCCCCAGTCTACACTATGGCCCCCAGCAAGACCATGGGCGCTGGTGGGATAGCAGGGGAAGCGCTGAACGGCCACTTTGCTGGCTGAGGACGAAGCGACCTGTGGAACAGTCCAGGGCTGGCAGTGACTGCGCCCCCCTTAGCACAGCCCTCGGCTGCTGGCCGCGGCCCCCTGGCTAGTGTCTGCAGGCCTGTAGCTGGCAAACATGGACACGGGAAAGTGATAAACTATGTTTGCGTTAATACATTTGCTTCCAACCCCCTCACTGGAGTGCTGGAATTTTAAGCATCCCTTTGATGTGCCACAAGTCCTTAATAAGAACAATTAAACACACAGGGCTCTAGGGCAGCAATGTGCACACCCCCCAGGACTAGATCCCTTCTGCTCCTCGGAATGCGCCACTAGGAATGTGTCATACACAATCTGAAAAGTAGGTGAGGCCAGCCAGGTAGATCAGAGAGATGCCCTAGAGGTTTAACTTTACCAGAACTGTACCAAGGTCTGGCTCCAACTAATGCCTAGTTATCAGCTCAGACATTTTCCAAAACAGTCTAGGTTTCCTGGGGCGAAAGGCTGTGCTTGCTCATTTGTTTATGGTTGGCAAGCTCTGGCTCGTAGAGAAGGCCTGCAATGATTCCCTTGCTGGGGTTCCAGAAGACCTTCCCCCAGGACTTTCCAAGTCCCCTAGGATCAGGGCTGGAGCAGCAGGAGCTCCCAAGAGGCTACTCTGATGCTGAGGGACCAGGCTGGGGGAGGAGGTGGCCCTGCTCACCATGGAGCAGGAAACCATTGCTTCTCGGGGGCCTAGGTGCGTGGTTTGGGCCTTCAAAGCCAGTTGGGCAGGCTTCCAGGGTGTGACTGACAGGCTGGTTATTGGAAAGCTCCCATCATTAGCCCAAGAACTTTGTTTGGTTGCTATGGAGATCCTCACTACAAGGGCCTGACTAAAGCACTAGGAATCTGTTACCTAAAACCATCCCTGACAGTGCCCGTGGCCTCCTCTGGAGGGCCCATTGCCCTTCTCCCGGATTCCTGCTCTTCCCTGCTCAGCCCCTCCCGCTGCCTCCCCCACCCCAAATGAAAAGAAAGGGCCAGCAGAGACATCATCCTGTGGCTTGCTTGGAGCCTCTCACATTCCAAACAGGGAGCTGTGGCCCGAGGCCCCCTGCAAGCCTGGGCCGCCCAGCCAGCTGGCGGCACTGCCCGGCCAGCACATGTGTCCAGGGCTTAGCAGGAAGCCCACAGGATTTCAGAAAGCTGCCCAGGGTGTCTGGTTCCCACCACGCCAGCTCACGCTGTCCCTGAGGGGCAATCAGTCTCTGCTTCCTCACGTTCCTGCCTTTTTAAACCTGAGCTCTACTAACTAAAGGTCATGCCCCAGCATGGACATCTAGAGCCCCCTTGCTTTGCTTTCTAATCCCCAAGGTCAGAGGATTCTCAAAAGTTGGACTCAGGGAAAGCTGGGTTTTGCTCTGGGAGTCTAGAAGCTGCCTGTGTGGCATAGTGACATTTTTATAAAGCTCTTCCCAGAGGTCACATCCCCTCCCCTGCTCAGGACCCAGACTTGCCAGGCCTCTCTTCCTGCCACCTCTGGGGTCACTGCATGCACAGCCACCCTTGGGTCCCAGGTGTCAGGTGACACTGTTTGTGGCCACCTCTGCCCCCCTCTGCCACTGTGGATACACAGCTGATGAGCTGCATGACCTTCTCTGGTCTGATCCTCAGAAGAGACCTCAGGAGCAGGAGGGACCAGGACAGATACTGTCTGTCATTCCAAGGAGGAACAGATTGCTGCAGGCAGCACAGGACACAGACCTGAGGGGACTTTGCTCCAGCTCTCACACAGGGTCAAGTTCACAGGGATGAGGGTCCATCCCACGTACCAGTGAAGGCAAAGCATGAACCCCAATTATCAGCCTGCCAGTGACTTCCCTCCCTGGCAGCCTGGGGTGCATTGCAGGTTTGGCCTTCACAGGAACAGAAGCTTCTAGAAGGTTCCATCACCAGACAGCTGTCCCTGAGGTACATAGTGAACAGACCTGTTCCTCGGGCCTCTGAGTAGCCCCTGAAAACAGACTCTCCTGGGGACAGTGAGGTCAGGGCCAAGGGGATTTGGTCTGTGCTGTTTTGCTGAGCAGTATTTACTGGACCGGTTGTTTAATTAATTGCCTTGGCAACAGCTGGCGCCACGCACAGCTCACTCCCAGCGAAGGGAGCAGCTGGAGAGACAGGACGCAGTGTCAACTGGAGAGCAATGACATTTTTCAGCAGTCCTGACCCGCACTGGACCCAATGACATTTCCTGCTAATCTCTGGGTTTCTGTACTCTAGGGTTTCATGTCTGGGGACCAGTTTTGACTTGTTTTGCAAATGACACGGTCATGCAGCAGAGCTGGGGGAAGATGGATCCCCCACAGCCAAGTAACTGTATGTAGACACTAGGTATTTGTTTCTTTCCTTGTTTTGCCTAAAATAAGAGTTATTTTCTTCACAGTCTTGGGGCCTTAAGTCCCCACCTTTCCCAGTTCCTGATTCAGGGGGTTAGGGGTTCATGGTGACTCAAGATAAAGAACTACTACTTCTCTACTGGTCCTGGGATGGACAGGGAAAAGTGAAGTGCTACTGGGGTGGGACAGCCTTGTCCCCAGATGCTTTGCAGCACATCATTGCAGAGATGGGACAAAGAACACACACAGCCTCAGCCTGCAGAGCCCCTTATGTTCCACCATTCCCTGTACTGAGACATCTGTAAGGGTGAGCTGTTCCCCTGGCAGAGGCTGCTCCCTTAAGGCTCAGGCCAGCAGAAGGGGGACAACCCTGCTTTGCAGGTAGCTCTCCGTAGCCTGGACGGAGGGTGGGGGGGTCTCGGCTACCTGCTCAGTCTGCACCTTTCTGGAACTCAGCCCCTCCGAGAACCTGCTAGAAGCCATCTCGTCGGATGCACACATGCACGCACTCGCTACATGTTCTCAGTCATGTCCGCCCACAGATCTGTGGGCGGCACAGGCCCAGGGCCAGGGCCCTCTGCCTTTCAGACTCTGCAGGGAGCAGGGAGCATCCTGGCGAGGGGGACGGGGATGAGTTCACACCCTGCTGCGATGCAATGGGGCCTCCAAGCCCAGCCCTGGGCTCTGGAGAGTGGAGGTGGTGTGGCAGAGGACACCTCCCTCAAGTGTGCTGGTGAGGCCAGGGGGAAGCCAGGTCTGGGCAGACCCTATTTCCAGCACACTCCACATAGCCCTTCAACCAGGAATCAGCTCTTGTCCCCACTGCTGGCCTGTGCAGGAGGCTGACAGAACAGTCAGCTCAGAGGTTAGAAAGTGACAAGACCTAACTACAAGTGCCACATGCAGAAGAGACCCTTGGAAGGAACTAGGGGTACGAGGAGGGGCCAACCGTGCAGAGCTGAATCTCCCTTTGATTCTTGTTTTCAGATCCATGCAGGACTTAGCTCGAAGTGCGCCACTGATAAAATCCTGCCCCAAAGCCTTGGCTTGGCCCTCATCCACTCAGGAACATGCTCACGCCCTGGGGCAGTTTCACCTCTTAAGAGTGACCACAGGGGCTGGGGAAATGGCTCAGTAGAATAAGCGCTTCCTTGGCAAGCACAAGGGTCTGAGTTCAATCCCCGGTTCCACCAAAAAAAAAAAAAAAAAAAAAAAAAGAGTGACCACAATCCCAGTGTCTTCCTCTTTGCTGTGGGGCAGCCCTGGGGTGGTTGAGACCCCCCCAACAGAGCAGAAGGGAGGGTGTGGAGGGTTTCCTTACTCTGGGCTCAATGACACTAGCCTATGAAGAGGAGGAGGCAGAAGCCCCACATAGCTCTTGTTCTCAGGGTCCTGGCTGGTGGTGGCAGGAGGACCTAGTTCCACCCTACGACTGCAGCTTGTGCAAAGTGTACCAAGTGCAATCTGAGCTCTGCTGCAAGAAGCAGGGCAGCTGGTGGCAACAGCCAAGGGACAGGCACGCTTGAGGTAAGATAACCTGCCCCCAACTGTCAGGTTACCCGCAGCAGCTGCGTCATGATGAGCTCACCTGCAGTGGCAGCCTTGAGCGTGTGGAAAGCTGGGGTGGGGCCAAGGCGGGGAAGCCCTTACACAGTGCACACGCGCCCCAGTGCATTCTTGCCCACAGCCCCACAGTCCCAAGGAGACTGTGGGCTTACCACTCCCTAGTCCTGCACACAGCCGCCGTGGCACTCTGTACTCTTTCTCCACCCAGAGAGTGCGCGTGCTGTGGTGCTGGCACCTGGGCTGAAGGCCAGCCAGCCCCTAACCAGCACTGTCCACAGGGCACTCACTTGAAGTTCTCAGGGTACTCGGCAATGGCCATGTTGGTGACGTCCAGGGCATGCTGATAGTGCTTCTGGGCAGAGAAGAGCAGCGCCAGCAGGTGGAGGGCATTGGCATCGTCCTTGCACACTGCCAGGGACCCCTGTAGCTGCTCCATGGCGCTGGAAATCTGCCAGAGGAAACCGTCGGCTTAGAGACCTTCCCCAGGCTGCAAGGCCAGAAGGAGCCTTGGAGCTCCAACTCAGGCAGATGCCTGGCGCTGGGACACAAGGATGGCGCTGTGTGCAAACGTATCCCCCAAGCAGCCTAAGAGGGGCCTTCTGTGACCGTGGGGCAGAGGGAAGACACTCACTGTACAGCGCCAAGGATGTGGGCAAAGGAAGCATTTCCTCCAGGGAGGTGGGACACACGAGGGAGAGGGGGCCTGGTGGCATGCAGACGCCCTTCCAGCTCAGCGGGGTCCTGCCCAGGGGAGGAGCAAGAACAGGGTGCAGAGGCGAGCACCGGGAAAGGGGTGTGGGCATACGCTAGTGTCCGCCCCTCCCCCCCAGCCCTTTTCTTCTCTCCGTAATTACTAGGCCTGGTTTCAAGTCTGAACAGGAAGGGCGAGGCCAGATAAGGTAGGGAGTCGGAGGAGCAGCTGGAGCGCCCCCTGGAGGTAGCTGTGGGCAAGTCTTTGCTCCAGGGGTAGACAGAGGTCACAGCAGTGTGGAGACCCACGCCCACCTGGACCCCAGCCTCCATCTGCGCTGGTTTGCTGCCCTTCCTGGTATCCTTATGAAAGGGCACAGACCCGGCTGCTCTAAGGCCACACTCCTACCTCACTGGCATGGAGCCTTATTCCTAAAAGCCCACAGGGTAGAGGTGGTATGGGGACCCCCTCCTGAGAAACCCATTAGTAATACTTAACACCACAGCCAGAGGCTGAGTCCTGGGCCTCCCCCAAAGCTGCTCTCAGTACCACTCCAACTCGGGACACCCCCATCCCACCGGCTGCTCAGCCAGGCAGTGGGGTGAGGTCTGAAAGAAACACTCGCAGGCCCACGTGGCCCGGCCTGCGCACCCCTGGCAGGATCTGGGGAAAGTTTCCACAAGCATTAAGGAGCAAAAAGAATTCTGGCAGTCACCAGTGTAAACACTCTTTTTCAAAAAAGGCTGCGTGCAGGGACTGAGAGCTCCTGAGGCAGCCCCGTGCAACCTGCGGGGCAGCGCTGCGCCTCCTGCACTGTCTCCTCCAGAAAACCCGCACAGGCCTCTTGCTCAGAGCTGCCACCTGCTGCCTGTGCCCACTGATGCTGCCTTCAGGCTGGCTGCGGTACTGCGGAAGCCCAAAAGGGCTGGGTTCTCACTGTCCCTGAGCTTCACCTCCCTGAATTCAACAGCCTGTTGAGCACAGCTCTGACCTTACAGGGGTTAACAGAGCGAATGTAAACACAAACAAAATGCTTGCTTGTCTTCTACACCAGCCTCTCTAACATTCCTGGGCAAGTGGAGCTGCTCAGCACCACAGCTGGACCCCCACCCCGTCAAGCTTGCACTAGCTGGGCCTCACACTGACTGGGCTGTGGTGCAGACAAAGGTCTGAACCTAGCCATCCCAGGTCAGGGCCAGCCTCTCTGCATGCCATGGCTCCTGGCACTGACTGCCACCTGTGCCACACTGTTAGATTCTGGGCACCTCCAACCTGGCTCAGTTTCCCAAGACCCCCAAGTCTCTCCAGTCCCCTGCACGGCTAAGTCTCAATCACCTTGCACCTAGCAGGCATGGAGGCCACGACCAGGCAGGGTGGAGTGCGGGCGGCAGCCTGAGGCATACCTCTGCCACAGTCTGCTGGGTGCCTGCTCTGGTGGTCCTGGGGAAGACAACTTCACTGTTGGGTACCTTCCCCCCTCCCCCCAGTTCAGATGCTGCTCTAGGACAAGTGGCCCGCTGTGCCGCTGCCTGGCTGGCACCTAGGGCATGGGCATCTGTCCCTCTGAGCTGGGCTTCCTCTGTGGCAAAAGCAGGATGATTCTCCCCCCCGCCCTGCAGAGACCCTGAATGTGAACGTCCTGCAGAGAGCTGGCTCCGGGTGCTCTGGAAAGGGCAGTTTCATTCTGCAAGCCTTCCAAGGTGCTGTCCCTAGGCACCTGGAGGCGTCCTCCATCTAGTCCTGAGGCAGCGCTCCTGTGTGCCCGCACGCCAACCCAGACACGTGAGCCCCTACAGTGTCTACAGTGGGGTTTTGGCTCTGCTGGAAGCTTGGGGGTCCCCTTCCTTCCTTCCTTCCTTCCTCCATCTATTCCTCTGCTCCTTCCTTCTTCTCCCTCTTCCTTCCCCCTCCCTTCCCTTCTCCTTCCTTCCCTCCCCTCCTTCCTTCCTTCTTTCTTCTCCCTTCCCTCCCTCCCTCCCTCCCTCCCTTTCTTGCTTCTTCCTTCTCCTTCCCTTCTTTCCCTTTCTGGTGCTGGAGATCAAGCCCTGGGTTGCTTACATGCCAAGCATGCACTTCTATTAAGATAATATACCCAGCCAATGAATCTGCTTGGAGTCCATTCAGGGGACTTCAACCCCTGGTGCTAACAGGCCTTGGGGTCCCCAAGGAACCTGGGCACCAGGCTCCAATAGCCTGGCCAACCAGCCATCTCTCTCTGCCAATGGGCACTATTCAGAGATGGGTGAATAATTAAAGAGATTAAAAAATGCATCACCCAAAGGTTTATCATTAACTTGATTGGCAAGAAAAGCACCAGGTTCTTTTACAGCACACTAAAAATAAAGCCGTCTCAGGTATCTTTCCTTCTGCTCCGGGGGCAGTGATGCCCAGCACAGAGAGCCCAGTGCCTGGGCCAGGGCGCAGTCAGGAGCGTGGGGGACAAGGCAGGGCCGAGTGTGTCGTGCAGAGGGGGTACAGGAGGAAAGGGGGGCAGCGGATGACAGCAGGAGGGACAGCAGGGCCATGGGGGAGAGGGCACAGAGGGAGGCAGCACTGAGTCAGGACAGGTGAGGAGGGGGCTCGGGACAAGGGTCCAGGTGGGGAGCAAGTGAGGTAAGGGTTCCAGCCACCAGGAGGAGCCAGGTCTATGACAGCTCCAGGGAGGTGATGCAGGGTTGGTGGCAGGGTCCCCGCTATCCCAAGCCACAGGAGAAAGCACCCAGGGCCGGATAAGACCCAGGTGGAGCAGTACCCAGGCACTGTCTCCAAGTGGGATGGAGGCCCAGGTTCGGAGCGGGACCTCACGGGAGTGATGGTTCCCTGAGGTGCTGCTGGTGGCAGTGATCGTAGCAAGGGAGGGGTCAGTGAACAGGAGGCCCCCATAGGGCCCCACAGCAGAGGCCTGAGGTCCCACCAGGAGCCCCCAGGAGGCCCTCCATGAGCCAATGGCTCTGCTTCTCTGGGATGTGAGGAAAGGGTCAGGGAGGACTCTGGCAGATGGCTGAGATCTCTTCTGAACTTCTCAGGGCTTCCCTGTTCCAGAGCAGGCAAAGCATGAGCACCCCTTCCCTGAGTGCCCACCCCCTCGGGCCTCTCACTGATGACCCCCCGCTCCTACCCCTCCCGCAGGCAGAGACACATGCACACAGCAGGTAAGAAAGCAGAGGCTCAGAGAGGTCAAGTCACTCGCAGATGAGCACAGAGCTGCTAAGTGGAGCTGCTAGGAGGTAGGGGCAGCCCAGGCCCCGGGGGTTAGGGGTGCTAACCCACCTGTCGGACGAGGGCCAGCTGCAGGGAGAGGTAGAGGACGATCTGGGGGTCGTCAGGCGCCAGTTTCTGGGCTCTGCAGGGAGAGTGACAACTGCACGTGACCCGGGCTTCCTGCGATACCATCTCTGCACTGGGTGCTAGGGTGTGTCCTTCCAGGGCTGGTCTGGCAGGCACCCAGCTGGAGACAATGGCATAGGCAGGGGACCCAAAGCCAGCACAGGGCAGGGACAGCTGCTCTGAGGGCTGCACCAGCTGAGGCAAGGCCACCTGGGATGGGAGCGTCAAGGTGACAACCCGAAGGAAGAGGCCCTGGGTGGGCACAGACAGCACCCACGTCCTGTCCATACCACACAGGCCTGGCCTGTGCCATCCATCAGCCTGTTGCAGCCCATACCCAAGGACAGTGGGCAATGCCTCCTGTAGGGGAGCAGACTCGGCCTCTCTGGGCCAAAACCTTGACAACAAAGAGCCGGTGGGAAGAGGGCCGAGGGGTAAGCCCTCCATTCCCTGGAGCTCCAGGGGGCTTGGGACTGGGAACCTGCTCCAACAGGAGCTGATGCAAAACTGGCACAAGGTGTTCCAGCCAGGCCCCATGCAGCAAAACTGCCACCTGTGTGGTCAGGAGGGAGCAAGTACATCTGCTTAGTATGACGCAGAGGCCAGGGTGGGGTACAGGGAATAAGGCTGACCAAGGTGGGCCTGGGACCCCTGCTGCCAGGAAGCCTCTGCTGAGGTCTGACCAGCAGGGGCTGCAAGGAGGCGAACGCTACGTACAGTCGCTGCATGCCAGCCTCCGAATGCTCTTTTCCTGCCCTAGCTCGTGTACTGTCACGGCTAGTGTGGGTCACTATTCCCACGCAGGGCCCCGAGTACGGTGGCTGGAGCCCCAGCTCCTAGTTACCACCTAGTTTCGCTGGCACTGAAAGCCAGAGGCCCACAGCTGAGGACAGCTTGTCCCTGCTGTAGGACAAGAAACGGAAACAGAAACCCCACTGCACAGAGACGAATACCAGAGTCACGTGACGCAAGGAGCCCTGAAAGTGTAAGGGGTCCAGCGGCGACCAAGTCTCCTCACCTCTCCAGGGTCTGCAGCGCCTTCCGGTGCAGTTCATCTTGCTTAGACTTCAGGGTGGCTGTGGAAGACAGGATGGATGCTGAGCTGTACTGCCAGGCCTTGCTCCAAACCCCAGGCACAGGCGCTCTGCAGGGGGAACCCAAGGGGTCCGGCCTGGAAATCCTCCATGTCTGGGAGGTCCAGCTGCCACCTGCTGCCACCCTGGGCTCCTGGCACAGCTTTGGCCCACTGGTTCACTTCCTGCTATTTATACCAAGTGGACCCACTGAGAGGCCCAAGCTCACAGGTGCTCTGCGACCCAGGTACCCTACCCAGCCTGCAGGGAAAGGCTACCACCCTTGTCAGGCACCCTCCTGGGCACCATACCCACCCACTACTGTCAACCCTGCCATACAGACTGCGGCAGGGCAGGTGCTCCTGGCCTTGGGTGTATGCTAAGCACCGCAAGCCAATTTCCCAGGACTGCGTCCAGGCTCCAGCCAGGCTGGACCTTTTTCCACCAGGAAGGACACAGCACTGAGAGCTCAGAGACCGCAGCTGCTGTGAGGAGGGGACGGGGGCCACCCTCGCTAGCCCGTGCAGGGTTCGTGGGTGTCAGAACTGTCAGTCCTCACCTCCTCAGACAAATCAGCTGAGAGGGGTCCTGAGGCTGGGCACAGAGGGACTCCTGGGTTGGCACTGCAAGGAGGTGGGCAAGGGTCCATCCCAGTTAGATCAGAGTGAGCACCCGTCATCCCCAGCCCTCAGGCTGCAAGGACACTGCTAAGCTTTCTACCTAAATGTCCCCACTAGGGCCTCATGTATTCAGAGGCAGGACTTCTGGAAGGTGATTTACTCTGGTGTGTGGTACTGGTTTTCTCTTAGGAGGCAGGACTTGCCTGCGGGAGGCAGGTCACTGGGAGTGAGGCCAGAAGCCTGGTTCCCTAGCAGCCCCTTCCTGTCTGCCATGCTGTGCACAGCCTTTCTCCCTTGGCCTCTCCCTCCTCACCTTCCTGGCTTGCAGCCAGCCCACTACAGACCAGAAATGCAAGCCCAAGAAACCTCTCCTATGAGAACTGGTGTTCCAGCAACGAAGAACACGGTCAAGGTAGATGCCAAAGTAGGTGCCCGCCTGGTGGGCGAGGGGAGGTAGGGCTGAGCCAGCATGGCCAGGGCAAGGAGGGAAGCCATCAGCCAAATTCAAGCATTTATTAGACACTTGCTATGTACTCAGCACTGCCATACTGGAAGGGGAATTAAAAGACTCCAGATGATCTTAGTACTAAATGAGAACGAAGCCACAGTGGCGTGGAGCGCTCACGGGCACCTAAAAGGCCCTAGGAGGACTGGCATGGTGGCACACACCTACAATCCCAGCACTTGGGAGGCTGACGCAGGAGGATCACCATGAGTTCAAAGTCAGCCTGGACTACACAGTGAGTTCAAGGCCAGCCTGAACTGCATAGTGAGCCTCTGTCTCAACCAGACAAACAAAAAATTAAAAAACAAAGACACCAAGAGTGCACAGGACACAGCAGCCTAGCTTGGAGGAACATGCATGCACGTGGGCGTGTGTGTGTGTGTGTGTGTGTGTGTGTGTGTGTGTATACACACACGTGCATCTATCCCAGAAGTGGATGGTGTCTGCTAGACTGGCAGGGATGGGGAGCTAGTGGGACAAGTGCTCTGAAGTCAGGAAGAAAGTTTGTTCTCAAGCAGTGGCCTCCTGGGGCCTGGCACTCACCGTCAGTAGCCTGCAGGCTGTAGGTGAGACCCAGGGCCAGGTAGCCCTTGGGGAGGAACTCCCGGGCCTCCTCACCAAGGCCAATCACCATCATGGCAAAGTGTTCCGCCTCCTCCAGCTGGAAAGAGGAGAGGCAGAGGTCACAAGATGCTCTGCTGCCGTGGGCATGACAGGCAACCCAGTTACCAGCCTGCAGGGCCTCCAGGCAGATGCAGACAAGGACGGAACCGGCTCACAGCGAGGCAGCATGGCAGTCACAGGAGCTCTCTGGCCCTGCAGCCCCGGAGCAGAAGAACCAGCTGTTTCCTCTGCCAGGCAGTGGCCCCCAGGACCCGACCCGAGGTATGTGTCTGTACTCAAGGTCACAGATGCCACTTTCAGAGAGCGCTCCCTTGCCCCTGAGACCCTGCTCTTCCAAGTCGCTCCCTGAGGGCGTGGTGCTTAGCGGGCCCATCTACGCAGCTCCCTTCCTGGAGGGGCTTTGCAGGGCCCTGTGCAGGTGCCGGCGCTGCTTAGCAGACAGAGGGGCCAAAGCGGGGCCGGGGGCCTTGGTGTGCGCAGCCAGCCCCGTGGAGCACGCAGGCCAAGGCTGGGCTGCATGTGGAGCTCACTTTGTCCTCACACAGCAGAGCCCAGCTTGCAGGGGAAAAAGGCCCAGGGCTGTTTCTGTCCTGGGAGCAGCAGACTGTTCCAATTGGAAAAGGACCAACTGGCGTGGGTCACACATGCGCACGTGATCACACACAACACGGGACGAGGCCTCGTGGACACCCTGGGATACCCACATCTGACAGGCTGGCTGGGATGGCAGGGCACAGCACAGCCAGGGGTGGGGAAGCTGCACTCATTCTGACGCCAAAGCCTCCAGAAGGCTCTCATGCCCTCCCACCCAGGTGTGGCAGAGCACCTGCATCCGCTGCCAGAGGGGCCATGGGTCTCCTCCAGCCCTGAGGCTGCCCCAGCCCCGGCAAGGAGCTGGATACGCCACACACAGGCCTTCCAGCACCACCAGGTACCTGCCCGGCCAAGGGCTTGTAAGGCGGTCAAATAGGAGCTGGACCCATGCCCACACAGGGACAGGCCCAGCCCCAGCACAGATGGGCAGCTCTGGGTATCCTGGGGCCTGGCTGCTGGCTGCATCAGGGAAAGTACACGGGTGGCGTCTGTCTGTCCCTGGAGTCTAGACTGAGGCCCCAAGACAGACGCCATTCACTGTGGGGTGTAAGCAGGCTGGGCTCCCAGGGAGGGCACAACCTTGGTGACATGAACAAAACCCCCAAAAGAATGAAGGAGCAGAGACTCCACCGTGCAGATGGGGAGAATCTGAAACACAAGGTACCACGAGAAGCACCAACACCATGATTCCCTCCTGTTCCCACCCACACAGCTGGCTTTCTGCATGGGGAGACACTGGCGACCACAGGAGGAAGTGTCACTGCTAACTTGATTAAGACGGTAGGTGGTACGACAGCACACAGCACTGTGCAGAAGCAGACAATGCTTTTGCAGCCAAAAACTAAGACTGGAAAAAAAGCAGAACTCCTGAGAGGCACTACCGTGTGTCGTCCCCACCCCTGCCGGCCACCCCCAGCAGGACCGGGAATGCTCAAGTCTGGGACACCTGACTCTGCTCCTTTGCTTAGAAGCACTGGCACCCAGCCCACTCCAGGCCAGCTCTACCCTCAGGAATTGGCTCTGCGCGTGGAGGCCAGGCTGCCTGCGAGGACGGACAAAGCGCTAGGACCACAATGCCCGACCTCAGGTCTTGGCAGGGCTACTTCCTGTGCAGCCTTGAGCAAGTCATCCCACTCTGCTGTACCTCAGTTTCCTCTTCTGTAAAAAGGGGACACTAAAGGTGTCCTTGGAGTTGCTGAGGACCGACAGATGACCTGAATGTTCACAGCAGTACCTGACTGCATGTCAAGTACTATTTAGTACAAGTTACTGCATGTAGTATAACTCATGGAATATAAACATCAAGCTGCTCTGCATTTTACACACACACACACACACACACACACACACACACACACACACGCGTGAGCAGTGCCATCAAAGCCCTCCAGCCCATGGGGAGGCAGAACTAGCCGTGGAGAGCAGGTCACTGTTCCCACCCTGGCCGGTGGGGCGTGTGCCACCTCCATGTGGGCTTCCCTTGAGTGTGAGGTGTGCCAACTAGAGTGGACGGAGCCTCACCTAACTGGGACGCAGGGGCACACAAGGGTGGTGACAAAACTGCTCTGGGCCAGCAGGATCCCCACCCCCAGCTTGGGCAGGTTTTCAGGGAAGGCAGTCTTGCCTTCAAAGCAGGGACACTACCACCTGCCTTTTGTCCCTTAGCTTGATCCACAGCCACAGAAAAAGGAGAGGCTCTGCAAGGACATGTGGTGACTCTGCTACTCACTCTGCTCCGCCAGGCTGCTCAAGCGCCGACCACGTCAGGGTCCAGGACTCGTATCTGTCCACCCATCGGCCCACACACTGGTGCAAGGCGCCCCTTCCACTGGCAATCTTTCCAGTCCGCTCCCTGATGCCCGCTGGTGACTATGCCCTGTGGTCTCATGACACTGCCCTCGCGCGGCGGATCCAAGAGGCCTGGCCCTCTCCTGCACATCTTCTGTCCACCTGGTTCCTCAGGTGTCCTGCCTGGCTCCACATTTCCTCCCGTGCTATCTAAAGCTAACAGCTGGTGCTTCTGTGACCAGTGCAGGCCACAGTGCTGACCCGCCCCACTTGTGAGGGTTACCAAGGCTCCTGCCAACCCTCCTCCTTCCCATAATGCAAAAGTCCCCTAGGATCCTTCTTGCCCAGGGCAGCTAGATAACGCTCCCAGAAGTCCCATGGGAGCCCCCTGCTCCCTCCTGTGGTTCAGAGCAGGCTGAGGCTTACCTAGCCCATCACAGCACCCCACTACCCAATGGTACAGGCACTGCACAGCCCGAGGTTCTGTGTGGGGGGCCTGCAGGCGGCCTAGCCATGGCCCCTGGCTGGGAAGCTCAGAACTGCACCTGCAGCCCAGCCTTTCTTCCAGCTTCCCGGTTTGTGGCTGCTTGCTGTGGCTTTCCACTTTCTCCTCTCTGGCATTTTAGAAAAAGGTATACGGCTGTGATGGTTTGGAAGGAAAGGCCCCTTGACTTCCAGTTCTTCGCTCCAGCTGTCCTACAGGGGTCTCTCCAGAGTGACCGCAGTGAACCACTGCAGTGGGCTGAAGAGCTTCAGCGTGAGATTCCTTACCTCTTCTTCTCCACCCAGGGACAGAAAGAGCAACTACTTTGGTCATTGCAGGGTCTCACACTGCAGCTCGGATTCATAGTGATCCTCCTGCTTTCAGCCTCCCCTGGGATCACAGGCATATGCCACTACACCTAGATTCTGTGGTTGGCTCAGCCCACCTTGGGGGCAGGGCTGGTGCGGCATGCGATGCCCAGGATCTAACCAAGGCTCTGTTCCAAGACACCG